AATGCAAATTATTAAATAGTCGCCTCATAAATTTGTATAGCACTTTTACTTTTCAACTGCATATTTCTGTTTATTAGTATTGTCATCCATGTTACGGATGTCTTTTTAATGAGTCATGGTTCCTTGGCAATCATACCCTTACCATAACCTGCTGGTTTCACTTTTATTTTTAAAGTTTTGTGAAGACAATGTGAAATTTTATTCGTGTTTAGTTTCAAAAATAGAGCTCAGATTGAACAGTTGTTCTACTACATCGTTCAGGAGTCTTCAGATGATGCAAATAGCAAATAAATGTTCAGACGTCAAGTCGTTTCAGTTTTCAAATCAAATTTATTTTTCCCCGAAATTGGTTTTATAAACATGAAGTATTAACTCGATTTACTTGGTTGTTGATTAGTCATTGCAATAGGTCAAGAAATCATGATCTATGTCAAGGATATGCACACTGGATTTAACACAAAAAAGTTGGAACTATTACATATCATTTGATTNCAAAGTTATTTTTCCCCAAAACTGGTTTTATAAACATTAGGTATTAACTCGATCTACTTGGTTGTTGATTAGTCACTGCAATAGGTCAAGAAATCATGATCTATGCCAAGGATATGCACACTGGATTTAACAAAAAAAGTTGGAACTGTTACATATTCTTTGATTTCCAATAACAGTCTTGAAACTCTCGCCCCGCAATCATCTATGATTCTGGGTATGAGGTTAGGTAATCGTTTTGAAACAGATTATCATTTTAACAGAATCATTCAGAAAAAATATAATGGTAATCTTGCAAATCACGATGTACCACTAGTGTGTGTGTGTAATAACTTTTAAATGAATCAGTTCAAGAAACGATATTGTTTTCAAGAACTCAAAATGGTCTGACGTAGTTCTACTGGCTTTGGATCCTCACTCACTACCTCATCATTCTTCACTATCCCGATCTTCCCTCGCACCATAAAGTCCTCGACATCCTTCTCCACATCACACAATAAATGCTACATCTCCTTGCCATACAAAGGCAACACCTCTTTAGTCAGCATTGTTCCTAATAAATCTGCACCCACATTCACATCGAGCTTATTTTAATTCCCGGAAACAACTACTCCCACCACTGAATCACCAGGATTCGACTCATAATACTCTACACTAACTTTCTTATTCTCCTCTTGACTAGAGCTCTCAATTTTACTTCCTTCTGAATCATTTTCTTCGTCCGATAGCCTAAAGAACTTGTAAAAAGTCTCCAAGACTTCATCTTTATCAGGTTTCTCCGGTTCAATTTCCACTATTTCTTCAGTAGACCCATCATCTAATCGCTTTGGAGATGGCTTGTTAAGTAACTCAAGCTCTTCAAATTCATTTTCAGTTTCTTTGGACAAAAGGGTATCTGTAAAATCCTCGAAACTCCATTCTTGGAACAAAACGGAACACGGGTTCGCCTATTTGGTAATTGTAAGGAAAAGCACAAGCCTATGCAAGATTTTGAAAGGAAATTTGGGGTTTCAATAAGTGAGAATTTGGAAGAAGCCTGAATGACATTAGAGTTAATAATCGGAATCTTGAAGGATAAGGATGGGATGAAGTGAGGGAAGGACTTGCCTACAGGATGATGCATAAGGATTGGCACGGCTCTGCTTAACCTGCGCACCGCTCGTGAACTATTAAGAAACCAGTATTGCTGCTTTACCACTTCTTTTTATCCATACATGGTGCTTGCGGCCCGGTCTAGTGTGCGCCAATGGAGTAGTAACCCAAATCTGATGTGGTTTTTGAGGGGTTGGTGGCAATGGGTCGAGCCGTCGGCTTGGCTCCATGCCCGCATGAGCTCGGCTCGTGACTCGGCTTGTTGGTTTTTGAGCTAGCTCGGCTAGCCCGAGCTTGCCCAAAACGAGCCGCTCGGCGAGCGAGCCGAGCTCGTCTTTTTTTATGATGAATGCAGTGAAATTAAATATCACTTACTTGATTACATGCAATTTCGGCATATTTATTTTGAATTTGATAATTAGCGTCTTTCCAATTCTTCACATACATTAACGCCTATAAAATATCTTTTTTTAGTCGATTCCTGATCTCAGGGAGAATCCTCTTCCCTGCACTTAAAGTAGACTCCGAAACTACAATGTTAACCAGAGGTGTGAATAGATCTTTTGTAATTGCAGAAACTATTGGCCCGGCGTTCGTTATTTAGCCAGAATTCAATGACCACTTCTGTACTTTTCCTAACTAATTTGTTACTAG